TGCAAACCTTTTCTGTTTGCCCAGACACTGCGACAGCGATCACCCTGTCGTCCATAGCGATAATAACACGGTGCTACGAATGTACTTTCTAATTTTGTATCATAGAACTTGTAGAGAATCGATGCGCCCATGCTGGGCCACTCGCGGGCGCCATTGAAGTGGTCCGAATGTGCCTTAACTGCCGGCTGCCGGCGGTGATTGTCGTCTTCTAACGGCAGTCACGGCACTGTTCGCTGTAGTGCTCAGTCACGGCACTGGCCGGCCCAGGCACGGCACTGCTTACTGCTCGCTGCACTGCACACTGCACTGCCCAGACACGGGACTGCACTGCTCAATCACCGCCCTGCTTGCTACTCAGTCATGTCACTGCACAGCTCACACTGCTCAGTCAGGGCACTGCAGGGCAGGGCACGTCCATGAAATCGTTCCAGGATAAATTTAGATAGGACACATGCTCAGCCTTGATGTAGCCCGTGCCATGCAAACTTTTCGTTTGCCCAGACACTGCGACTGCTCGGTGACGGCATGCTGTGCTGTCACGGCACTGCTCACTGCTCAGTCAGGGCACTCGCTGCCCCGTCACGACACGGTGCCTCCACTGTCCCGTGCCCGTCACGGCACCAGTTCTCCTCCTCCGCCATGGAACCAGTAGTCAGTACCCATCCCCATTTTGCCCTCTGCACGATACTGACCTATCATATCCCCAGACTGCCCTTCCCGAGTCACGGCATCTACCATGCCGCATCCCCTCACGACACTATAGGTCGCTGGGCGGGGACAGGTAGCAACGCACTTCTTGCGATGATCAAACAGCCTGCCTAGGTAGCGGGTGTAAACAACAGATAGTCTGTTGCGGTGACCCATAACAGCCTTGGTCCTGGTCGGCGCTCCTTATATGTCAACGGCAAAATATCTGTACATGCTGCACCCGGACCTTTTGAACAAAGGTCAGCATCTTGCCGAGGATAAAACTGAGCGCCGGACTGATCATCCGAAGGCCGGTCAGCTCACAATATCGGTCACAAAGGTCCGCGATCTGTGCCTTTGTATACCGGTAGATCAGGTGCTCCGTTGCCAAGACACCAACTCATCCACTGCTGGCTCCTTGGACAGGCGAGTCAGCGGGTTTTTGGCCAGAAACCGCCATAAAACTATGTGTAATCAAGCCTGCAGCCAAAGCGGACAAACTTTGTTGATTCCGGCCCTTTGGCTCTGCTGGTTTTGTTAGGTGATTGGTAGCGCTCAGTGCGGTTTTATAGGAAAATACTTCATCAAATCCTGTCGTATAACATAGATATGCTTCATGTATCGAGAATACTGGCGTTAATCTAAGCAGGGTGTTTGTTTGACCTAGAAAATTAGCCAACATTGGCCGAGAGTAACGAGCTCCAGATCAGCTTCACATCTCTGAGCCGATAGGAGCCTAGTGACCTGGTAGTGGAATAAGCTGCGCAAGACCGGGAGACCTTCTTGCTACACAAAACACCTAACTAAACCGTCCATCTATGAAAGCTGAACATTTATTTTATCATCTTTATTCACGTAGCTCCTCAGTATACATGCTTGTATTATTCGGTCCTCATCATTACACGTACGTTTAATTAATGTTATGTGCTGCAATCATTATTCGCAGATCGATCATACATTTACGGACAAAGAATAAGCGATAGGGATGACAGCATGAAAGAGCATGGCACAGTCCGAAAACGTGCCATCATCGCCAACCAAACAATCACCTCAATGCCATTGTTTTAGTCGGTAATTAAATATGGCCGGTGCAGACACGGAGTGCCGGTGGACACGGAGTGCCGGTGGACACGGAGTGCTGCCAGCCAGCCGCTGAGTGATTGGCCGGCCGGACCCGAGGCGCCCAGTGGCCGCGTAATGGGGCAACTCGGAGCCTGGCGTCGCAGACGTGAGCGTCCGTCGACAGCGGCAGTATGTCGTCGGTGCCGACAGTGCCGCCGGACCGGGCGGCGACGCACCAAGTTCGGCGCGACGCTCCTATCTCATGGCTACCGGGAGATCCCAGTCGGCCAAGTTATGCTGTTAAGGCGACTCCGCACTGCCGGCCGCGATTCCGGGATGGGGTGGAGAGAGAGAGAGAGAGAGAGAGAGAGACGAGAGAGAGAGAGAGAGAGAGAGAGAGAGGAGAGAGAGAGAGAGAGAGAGAGAGAGAGAGAGAGAGAGAAGAGGGAGGAGAGACAAAGATGCAGGGACGGAGACAGAATCAAGATAGTTAGAGATAAGAGAGGGAGAGAAAAAGAGGGAGGATGAATTGAATAATCCGAAATACTCTTGCATCCCTCAGCACCATCGTCAGGCTAGTCTAACCTAAGCCTTTAACCAGACATAGGAGATGCATATTTTTGATCCACCACATAGAAAGAACCCTTCACTAGCGGTTTCTACTCTGTCAATTGGGACACCTTGATATGCCATAACTGACTTGACCCTCATGCCCACTAGCTAGGTGTATGGCGATGTGTGGAGCACTGTGTCGTGGATGAAGTATTCCCTGTGTAGTGTGTAACTATGTGTCTCTGTGGGTGGGCAGATAAACATACACATAACACCAATACAATAACTGACCCTCGCTGGTAGAACCCGCCCGCGATACGGTGGGATGCACTGTTGTGTCAGCGGTGACACACATTGACCCACTGACACTGACACTGGCCCGCAGTGGTAGAACCCGCCCGCGATATGGCGGGATGTACCGCTGTGTCAGCGGACTTTTGGCGCCAGCGATCAGTAGCTCGGATCAAATATTCAACAACCAGTCGCAGGCTGAGATTGACCGCCATCCTAATGCATATTCCATTGATTGCTTAGTTGATGCTGCCCCGAGGCCGGTGGCAGGGCTGCCGAGCGCCGGGGCCGCGTGTTTACGTAGGGCCGCGCTGAACTGACGCCGCCGGGCTTCGGTCCACACTACCCAGTGCATGTACGGTGATTGGTTCTGTCTCAGAGATATTGCTCCTATTTTGTTTTCGTGGACAACTTTACGTTGTTTATTATGTCCTGTCGCGATATACCATACGATATTCTAGTATCATTTTCTTTGGGACGACCGTCCTTTTCTATTCTGGCATTTCCAGTCAGTGAGGGCATGGTGTGCCGTCTCTATATTTACCGTATGTTTTATTCTGAGCTGACCGCTCGCCCCCGGTGTCCGCCGCCGGACTCCGGACGTCCGCTCAGTGTGCTGCGTCTCTCCGGACGCTCCGGACCGGCGCGGCGCCCGGAGGCGCCCGGAGGCGGCCGGAGGCGGCCGGAGGCTCGTTTTTTCCGACACGCGCCCGCCCCAGGGGAGCGGACGGCCCGGGCCGGACCCGCGCCGCGCCGCGCCGCCGTCCTCTATTGGTGGGGATGGCACGATCCACATAAACTAGCACGCCGAGGCGGCGGCCGATGCAGAATTGAGGCGGCGCCGCCGGCCGTGCCCCGTGCCCCGGCCGTGCCTTGGTCGACGGTATTGGACGTGGGTGGTCAGCGCAGCACGGGGGGGGGGGAGGGGACGACAGCCAACCCATATACCGCCCGCACACACGCAGCCCAGTCGAATGAAAACTGTGATTCGTTATCGTTGATTAGTTATGGGAGCCGGTCGATCATCGACAGATTGAATAACTGTATTAATCACGGGCTTATACGCGAGAACAAGGCAAGACACTTAACTTATTCACTAACACAGTTTTTATCCGTTTCCAGACAAAAGAGCGGCGGGAATCTATCAGCCATCTTAGACCACCTTCAACGCGGATACGACAAAAGACTGAGGCCCAACTATGGAGGTACGTGAGCTACTTATATCCAGGCTATGCTCTATGATTTAAAAAATAATAATTCTAGTTTCGAGGAGACGTGAGCTTAAAAAGCAATAGTTATTGTCATTACCGCATTATTGATAGGCTGATCGGGGAAGCATTTGATGTTAATCGTTTTTTGACAGACCTATCCATTGCCCAAAGTCCAGTAACAGACTGTACTGTACTGCTGGGACTGTAGTGACAGACATATCCGATGACTGACTTGTCATTTCCAGTAACAAACATGTTCGATTGCGGGGCGATTGTCCACTGACAGCCATGTCCGGTGACACCCTGGCACGCGATGTATGCCGCCATATCAGTGCCCCTTACTGTCGGTGAACCTGTGTGGTCATTACTAATGACCCAGCTGGTGTAGGTGAACCTGGGTGGTGACTCGTGATGTGGCTGAACTGAATTCGTCCTGCGGCATCAGTGACTACTGACCAGTTTCAGTTGGTGTTGTCTTATAAATTTATCAAAGACAAGTTACTGAGTAGTGAGTGAGTAGGTATGTATCCAAAAAAGTACACGTGCAGTAACCAGTGACCAGTAACTGAGGGTGATTCTGTGCAGTGTGCAGTGCCACTGTCAGTAAATATTGCTGCAAACACTCACTGTGGCTAAATCTGTGCAGTATTCAGCGATCCGTAGCTGTGAGTAAGTTTGTGCTGCAACTGTAGCTGAATAGTTACCTATGTGTACTCGTAAATCTGTGCCGTACCCACTGACTGCGTCCGAATCTGTGCGCCCCTGTGTCGGCCGGCTGACCGATGGCCTGCCCGGTGTCGGCCAGCTGCCATCGGCGCCACCCAGAGACAGCTGAGCCGCATCCGTGGATGACAGAGTGACCCTGCTCTGTCCCCCGGTCCCCCCCCGTGTCCCCCCCCCCCGTCTCCGGTCGGCCGGCCGACAGCTCGTCGGCAGACCAATGCCATGATTGGCAGTCACGTGTCTGGCAGCGACCAGAGGGCTGACCTTCCGGGTGTCTCCAGTCGGCAATAATTATATATCCGCCGCAGCGGCTCTCTCGCTCTGCTCCCTTCTCTTCCTCTCTTTTTCTTCCTCCCTCCAACCATCTCTCTTTCTCCTGTTTCTTTCTTCATAATACATGTAAACATCTGCCTCCTCTTTCTTTATCTCTATCTTTTTACTTTCCTCTCGCTCTTTTTCTGTCTTCTCTCCCTCGCCCGCCTTCTCTCTCACTCCCTCCATGCCTCTCCTTCGTCTCCCTCCGTCTCTCACTCGCGCTCTCCTCTGTTTCTCATCATTCATTTCCCGTGACCATTGTTCATCATCTCTGCCGTTACACATGACGAGCTCCGTACAATGGTCGCCACTTGAGTGACATTGTATCTGAGCCAGGCAGTGTCGGCGACACGGCGACAGCATCTCCGAATGTGCTCGCCCGTAAATACGCCTCTGTTTAGCTGATTCGTCCGCTGGTGAACAAATACAAACACCTCCAGCCTTCGCTCAAGACGACGATGTTTCCCTAGCTTTGTCAGTTATTTTTGTCCCATCCTCACACGTAATAAATGAGTGTGGCGTTCGCTGTCCTGCACTAAGTGGTAGTTTGACGCCACAGTATGCCGGTATTTTCTCTAATGCTCACCCGTGACAGCCGTCTTTTCCTTGTTCCTTGTTCCTCCTCGCTCCGTGGCACGAGGCTCGTTTATCAGATGCCCTGTTGACCAGCTGTCCCGTGTCGCCGTACAATTTCATAATTTAATATTCTGGCGTGGCGCTGCGGGGGCGTTTCAGAGAGCAGGGGCTCGGAGCGGGCCAGGGCTTCTTTATCGGCGCCCACTGAGGACGTGGTCGTGCCATTCCGATTGAATGATGGGCCTGCGAGGCCTCGTTGGAGTTGTTTATAGTGGATGGGTGCACGTCCCATGAGCAGCCCTGTTGAGTGCTGAGCTCGCCGGCCCCGCCAGCAGCTCCTTGGTTCGATCCGAGCCGAACACGTTAGTCTTCAGAGAACAGATGTGGCTCCAGCCTCAGTCCGTCTTATACCTCTCATATTCAGGGTGTCTTCGCTGCTCTACCTACATCAGGATTGAATAATATTTCGACGATGCGGTAATTATTTGTGCCGTCAATGCATGGGACTTGTTTCGGTTTTCTAAGCTCTCTTCGCTGTCGGCTCAAACACTGCTATCCAATCAATGTCACCTCATCTGATTTGTACCGGCTCCCTCAATCGAGTCCCTCCACGGCGCGGTGTCCTGTGATGCAACTTACAGCCCACAGACGACGATCTTTGTGTATAGTGCTGTAATACTACAATGTCGAGTCCCTAGCTTAATCAGCAATGTCATTAGCCAGTGCCCTGCCGAACAATTATGTTCGTCAGCACTGCCATTCACCACTCATTAGTGCCACGTCCTGCTATTTCATTATTTCAATTACTGCACCGCTCAGTGTTGTCATACTGTTATCATTTCAATTACCAGGTGCCCTCGGCGATGTTGGTGGCCATTTCGGTCAGCAGCATTACTCAGCGATGTCTTTCCGAGCCATCAGCCAAATCGGTGGCGGCACATGCTCGGCTCTGTGAATGAGCTGTGTCATTGGCCAGTCTCCCCGCGTCTCTTTTGCCATCGATCTGCTGGCCGCGGCCGCCGGTGATGAGCACAGCTAATAAGACCTTAGCATTCGGCCCCAACGGCTGTAAATTGCGGGTCAAGGCGCCCGGCCGGCAGGGAAGGGTGGTAGGAGGGGCCGGGTAGGGTAGGGGTGACCGGTCGACAATCGATGTGAGGCGCCGCTGCAGGGACCGGCCGGCGTGCATGTCGGCCGTCCATCAGCCACCGGAGCGGACCCGGCGCCGGCCGAGTCCCGCGCGGAGCCAACTGTCGCGCCGACAGGACGCGGACCGAGTTATACAGACCCGACCAGACACCTACAGACACCAGACACTACCTGAACAGACTGTACTCGAACTGGACCGAACAGGCCGGACCAAACTGGACTGAACCGGACAGGCCAGCCTTAAACCACCTCCGTCAGCCCTGAACGCAGCAGTCCGGGGCTAATGTGGAAATTTTAGGTCCGCTGACCCGCCGTCGAGCTGAGTCCGACGGCACTGATGGATGATGCAGGACAGGCTGATATCGAGGACGATAAAGACGATGTAGTATTGATTTCTGTAGAGATAAATTTCTGAGTACGATGTCCCGCCAGATAAAGGCTGACATACTGAGGAGGCGTAATGCTCTACTAAGATACTCGGGGCGTTTCTGAGAAGTGGATCGTTTTACGTGTATCACCAGGCTACTGCAGCATGTCAGTCCATCTGTGAACGGTGTTGCTGTGATGTCCCGGCGGCGTATCCCTCGTTCTGTGTGCAGCCAGCAGGGCTGCGGAGTCGATGGACTTTCGGCGACTCCGATTCCGACTCCGACTCCGGCTTTCAAAAACCAGCTCCGACTCCGACTCCGACTCCGGGCAGGATTGTCGACTCCGACCGACTCCAACTCCCGACTCCGACTCCGCAGACCTAGCAGGGCTGCGGAGTCGACAGATTTTCGGTGACTCCGACTCCGACTCCGGCTCGGGTTTCTAAAATCGACTCCGACTCCGACTCCGACTCCGCAGCCCTGGCAGCCAGCTCCTGCAGCCCCACAGCTCCCAGTCGCTCGAGAGTCGCCCCATGGCTCATCTATTGGCACCGCTCGCGCGTCCGTGAAGTGATGACCACACGCGTGGGTCCGGCGGGCACTGGGCCAGACCGAGTCCAGCCGGGGGCTGCCGGCTCCGCCGCGACCGGCGAGACAGCGACATGGCAACGACCGTCATGTGGTGCCGCGGTTTGGCTGATGAGAATCGTCAGGGGTAAGGATGGAGGGACCAATCCCTTCTTCTACGTGGTTGACCTGATGGGTGACCTCAGATTGTGACTGGTGACCTATTGGAAACTGTAAGGTATATCCGCTGACCGCATTCTCTCTCTCTCTCTCTCTCTCTCTCTCTCTCTCTCTCTCTCTCTCTCTCTCTCTCTCTCTCTCTCTCTCTCTCTCTCTCTCTCTCTCTCTCTCGCTCTCTTCCTTTTCTCTCGTGTCTTTGTTTCGCCACTGGTCCTCACGTGCACGGCTTGCAAGTGACAGGGGTATCGAGTTCGATTTCTTTTAATTCCGCTGTGATTGGTTGCTGGTGCTGCGGCACGCACCTTGATGGTGGCCGCCTCGACCTCCGCCTGCCGCGGGCACTCTGAACTCGAACAGGAAGGGAACGCGCTATTCTAGAAATGGCGCTCCCTGGCGGCTCATACGGGGCACCGCAGAGCACACCATAGGTCACATCAACGCCAGTTACTCGCTTAAAATGAAGCTAGTGTGGAAACGCGGCGGTGCGCCGTGCTGGCTTTCAAGGAAATGCGGAGTGTTTCACGACCAGCGTTAAAACCCCGACCCAGGCTCGCGATAAAGCTGGCATTATACTGGCCATTCGGCACAAGATATCGTTTCAGCTAGAACTGCGATATTAAACGCGGTTTGCGACCTCATCCGGTCCAACCGTTCAAAGTCTGCCAGCAGCAGTCACTGCCGCACTCACACGTATGTTGTACCGTACGACACACGTATGTATTTCACCGCCATTTATATCTTAACTGTTAGTTCGATTGGATTTGCTTGCGAGCCAACTTGTTTTTTCGAGTCAGTCCCACACTTCCCAGTAAGTTAGGTTCGCGGTTTCTCTACATATGCTGGCTTGGGTGCATATCATATCCCTTTCATCATTCGAAAGTCATGTGCCAGCTTTGTGACTTGTGGCCTTTGACTGCATGGCCTTTGACTGCATGATAACAGCTCAACTCCGATCTCCATAACTGGCAGTTCAGATTCGTTAGTCTTTATCTGACATTTGGTCGACACTCGTTTTGTATGTCTCGTCATGTTCTACATCCTATATCTGACGATCTGTGTCCCACTTCTGTATCTGGCTCGAGTCAAGCTCCTGATTTTGATGAATCGTTCCTGACAATCGGATCTTGTTCCAGCTCCCTATCTGACAGCTCAGCTTCATGTCTTTCGGTCAGTTGTCGGGCCGATGTTCGACCCGACCAGAGCAGATCCACTCTACCAGTCCTGCCAACTCACATCCGGTCTCAATTTATGTGCCGTCTCCTTCTCCCCGCCAGCGAGATCTACTTCCCGACATGTCTGTCACCTTCCTGACACATCTGTCACATTGGATGATGGTTTCTGGGCCAGACGGGCCAGTCCCAATTGGAACACGATCCACCCCAGCCCACTGTGGCCGGACTATCGCCTGAGGCATTGATCGCTGCATTTCTGAGGTCTAGACGGAGATAGTGTTCGGTCTTTCGCAAGCGACAGACTTGCCCTGGGCTGCCGAGGACTGTCGACTGGCTTGAGGTTCATTTATTGCCGCCTGTGGATAGCTCCTGCTGTCGATTCGGTGAATTATCGTCTAGCCTCACACTGTCAACCCACCGGAGTGCAGTTACACAGCGACCATGGTGTGAGGTAAAGTCCCAGACCCCAATAGGCTGAAACAACAGTCTCTTGGTCCGACTCGGCTGGTCGAAATAGAAAGTTCGATAGAGTTCGAACGACTAGATGCCGTGCCGTTACCACTACTGTCCTGTGATCGATCCTCACACATCGTCTTATAACTGGCCGAATGCTGAGCGATACCTGGCTCGTTTCTACAGTAAGACTCGGTGCTAGGACGGACGTGGGACAGCTCCTTTTGTGACCCACTCGCCATTTTGGTCTGTCGCTCCGCCGCACGCCTGTCCAGATCCTGGATCGACCTCGACAGTCAGCTCGGTCGGCGTCGGGCCGACCCTCGACGGCCCACCGCCCCGGGCGCCAATAAACCATCGGGCACGCGCCATAAGCGACGCGTCCGGCCCGCCCGATCCACTTTGTCAAAGGTGAAGGGCCGCACCTTACCCTCTCCCTCCGGGGAGCCACCAGGGCGGCGCGGAAGGCCTGACCGAGTGGCGGCCGGCGTCCACAAAATAACAACATCCAGCCGGCCGGCCGGTCGACCGTCCGAACCGACCGGCCAAATTTGCAGCGAGCCGTCTTCATTACGGAAAGCCATTAGAGGCTGTTTCGAGGAAGCTCTGACAGCATTCTGATCAGCGCTAGTCACGTGACTTACATACCTCCTCGGTGATTTTCGCGGATGAGAAATTGGGTGATGGGCGGCCTGTTTCCTATTGGAAGATGACATCGATGTAACCATCTGCATTTAGACAGGATTATGTGTCTGATTACAACTATGACTCTGTGATGCATGTGACTCATAAGGCGAGGTTATGTTATCTGTAATTGCTTTCATTTTGTAAAAAGACTGCTAACTTTGAATAGAATACCAGTCGCTCTTGAAAGAATCAACTGATAAAAGCTACATCTTATTCAACAGTGATATGCATAACTGCGGTTGTGTGCCGACAGCGGCCTCAACATCGCTGGACGGATGACTTGTCTTATTATATCTTTCAATTATATGTCTTATTTGTCCTAAAGATAATTTTGAGTTTCTAGAGACTAGAAACTATCCACCGTTCAGTATTCTCCACCGTTGATCAATGCCGTGACTTTGAAAATACATCATACTGTAGTTCTCTAGGGTCGACCAGCCTATAGCCAAGTTGTCTGTTTTCAAAACCCTCAAAGACCCATCCACTCCAAACTCCGAGTGGATGTGAATCTATTTAAAATGACTTACATGTAAACAAAAAAAGCTTGAAATGAATGTGTGCTGAATTTTATAAAAACTAATATGAGATGAAACTTCGTACTCTATCAATCAATGCTGTGATGAAACAAACATAACCCAAAGAAAAACATCATCATCAGAAATATCTTGTGATGCTGTTCGCAGCAGATGATATCACGCTTACTCGTATATGACAGACTGATGAGTGACCAGCAGCGTATCCATTTAGTGTGTCCGTCGGTCTGTCGGGTGTCGATCTCTCGGTTTGTCGGTCTGTACGTCTGTCTGTCTGTATGTCCGACCGCGACGGTCTGTTGGTATGCCTTTTTGTCTATCGGTCTGTCTGTCTAATTCCAACCGTGTCTGTCTGTCCTCTATCTATCGTTGTGTCGGTCCGCGTCTGTATGCATTTATTTCTTCCTGTCCACTGCCTACTGCCCACCCCCCTTCAAGTCAGCCTCCAGTGTTGGTGTACCCCGTGGAGTGTGCTGACGCGTCTGATATATATTGCAGGCGCCGCCGTCGAAGTGGGGATCACCATGCACCTTGTCAGTATTTCATCTCTGTCCGAAGTCCGAATGGTACATAACTGTAGCCTAGCGTTGTGTTTTCTATTTCTCTCTCGGGCCGTTTTGTTTGTCCCACACACCTGCCACTGACAGCTGCTGAGTGGCACCGAGTGGGCACACAGCCGCCACACCCCGGTCCAGCCCCCCCCCCCCCCCCCCGGTCCGCCCTGTATATACCGTGTAAGGGAGCGGCCTGCCGACCACCCCGGCCCGCCCCAGCCGGCCGCCACGGCGCAGCCGTCCCGCCGCAGCGGTAGGTACGCATCAGAGGATCGACTCATCGACAACGGCATAGGGCCACTTTACAGGAACGCTCTACTGTAGCGATAGGGCCACCCAATAGACTTACTCTACAACCACGGTAAGTATGGTCGAGGAGTGCGTCAGAAACATTATTTTGCTAAGGCCAAAACTGCCTGTATTGTATGTCCCCGTGTCCTGGTTTGTACTTCTGTCCGTTCGTTCTTCTTTCGTTTCTTCTCATCTTCTCTCGCTCACCCCCGTCTACTTCTGTCTTTTCTCGTTTCCTGTCCGCTATAGCAATGTCTTACTGTTTCTCATCCTTCTCGCCACCCGCTGCCGATTTTTGGACAATGTCTCCCATCTCCCGCCATTTCGGCCCGCTCCCGCCATCGCCCACCATCTCGCGCCATTTGAGGTCATCTGGCGCCACGGGGCTGGCGCGCGGCGCCTCAGCTGTCCCGTGGGGTCACCACATTCAGGTGACGGATAGCTGATAGTACAGCTGAAATCCTCAGAGGCCGGACGTCACGGTTCGGTGCACCGCAGTTCCCTGCTCGGTTCTCTTCTCCTCTCCTCTTCTCGTTCTCTCTTCTCCTACTCTCCTCCACTCCTCTCCTCCTCTCCTCTCTCTTTCTTTCTCTCTCTCTTTCTCTCTCTCTCTCTCTCTCTCTCTCTTTCTCTCTCTCTCTCTCTCTCTCTCTCTCTCTCTCTCTCTCTCTCTCTCTCTCTCTCTCTCTCTCTCTCCCTCCCTCCCTCCCTCCCTCCCTCCCTCCCTCCCTCCCTCCCTCCCTCTCTCTCCGCTTCTATTTTCTTTTCTTCTTCTCTTCTTCTCCTTTTCACTTCTCCTCTCTTCCTCTTCTCCTCTTCTCCTCTCCCTCCTCCTCTCCCTTCTCCTTTCCTCCTGTCTCCCTTTTCTTTTTTCTCATTTTCTCGTCTCATATTGATCTTTACATCATTAACCTCTATCGTTTCAATTATACTTGTTCTAACCTCTTGATCCGTTTCGTTGCTTTCTTTGAATTATCATTCCAATAATCCCATTCAAGGGATTCAACTTTCAAACTCATTAGGGCGACCAGCGATCAGTGAAAGGTAAGACTTTTCAAGAAGTTGCCAGAACAGATCTCGAAAAAAAGAGAAACAGGTTATACCGGATGCTGCAGTGGAAAGTCGGCACCCCTGCACTCGCACTGTCGGTACACAGTGAGTTGACGATACTGCCTCAGTAAGCCTGCGGCACTGCCTCAGTAAGCCTGCGGCACTGCCTCAGTAAGCCTGCGGCACTGCCTCAGTAAGCCTGCGGCACCGCCTCACTAAGTCGGTGCCACTGCCTTAGTGAGTCAGTGCCAACTGCCACTGTCTCAGTGAGTCGGTGCCACTGCCTCAGTAAGTCGGTGCCACTGTCTCAGTGAGTCGGTGGTACTGCGTCAGGCGTTGTGCTCCCTCAGTAGGTCGGTGACACTGCTGCAGTAAGTCGGTGACACTGCTGCAGTAAGTCGGTGACACTGCTGCAGTAAGTCGGTGACACTGCTGCAGTAAGTCGGTGACACTGCTGCAGTAAGCCGGCGGCTGTGGCGGTACCTTGGCCGGGGTGGTTGGCCGGTCTCCCCCCAGTCCGTCCCGATCGCCGTGGCGGCGCCGTGAGCGCGCCGCTCCCTATGGTCGTGTCACGCACCTCTGGTGAACTCTTTCAGGCGTGCCGGTAACAGTGGGAATCACCATGCATCTAACGTCGATCTCGTCCGTTTCGGAAGTGATGATGGTACAAAATGCGTGTCTGTCTGCCCGACCGGCGGCCGCCGCGCTGGGCGGCCGCTGCGCGCGCTTTGTTCTCTCTGTCTGGTTGTGGCGCGCGCGACTCTGGCTTGGTGCACGTGCGCGCGTGGCGGTGCGCGGTGCGGCCCGCCCTCCGCCGGCAGAGGGGCGGGGCCGGCGGCGCTCCGCCCTCTCCCCACCGAGCCGCCCGGCGGGCGGCGGCTGTCCTCAGCGGGCCTCTACCCTGGCGCCCCCCCCCCTCCCCCTGCCCGGGGCCTCACACCACAGACTGGGCCCCTCCCTCCCCTCCCCTCCCCTCCCAGCGTCACAGGGTCGCCTTCTCGGCGGTCCCGGTATCTTTCTGCTTGCCTAGTCTCTTTTCACAAGCTGCATAAATTTATCGAGTCTTTTTTGCTTAGTTTCCGGTGCGAAACTCTGCAGTAAAAGTTTATTATACAATTTTGACTAGTAATGCGTAGATAACCCAATACTATTCCGTTTTATGCCGCATTTCAATATTGCTGTGTCTGATGCTACTCGGCTGAGCGGACCGGAACCGTTTCTATTTCGGTTATTTTAAGTCAACACAGTCTATGACGGCCTCTACCCGATAAAGGACAATGGGCCCAATAAAGTCAGTGTTTGTCTTACAAAGCTTGGTAAACGTGATCTCGATCATTTTATCTATACTTATGTTGTAAATTGTAATGTACCCTCATTCCAAAAGCTTTTTGGATATGTAATGCATCATTCGAGTAAATGAGTACATTGTTGCTTATCAACGTTTTAATGCTAACGCACTGCGCCGGGGATCATTTGTTTGATGTTACGATCAAATGTCGTATGGACTGCTTTGAAATGTCGTGTTCCGCTTCGCGGTGTGGCACGATATGCATATCAGCGGCGAGATCGAGCCATTTGGGCGGCACGCAGCGCGCGCAGTTGGGGTCTGATGGCCACTGCCACCACACGGGACTCGGCTGGCGGCAGACTCTGGCAAACCTCGCCCACAACCCGAGGCCAGCTCAGACGGTGTCAGTCCGCGGTCCGCCCCTCCCCTCCCGCCCCCTCCCCGGCCCCACCGGCGCGGCGCCGGCCGAGCGATGGGGAAACTGCAGCTCGGGGTGGACCCACTCCCCTCCCCCGTATCGGTCAGTCCTGACGACCCAGCGGCGGCTGGGTGACCCGCCGCCGCTACGCGGGCCTCCGGGCGAGCTGCAGTTGTAGGTGTGTAGCTCTTTTTGGACGCTCCTGCCGTTTCTCCTGTCGTCAATGCTCGTGCTGTACCTTCAGGGGGTGGCCGAGCCCTCGAACCCCCTCAGAGTTACCACAGCCGAGCTGCAGCTTTATCCCATCCCTCGGCCGGGCGCAGCACCGGAACGCTATTCTGTACTGCATCGCTGCAATTCAGCAGACCGGCATATGAGCGTCGCACTGTGCGGCGCTGTCCTCGGCTCGCAATAGGCTACCCGTCTGGCCGCCTTACCGTTTAATCAGTCAGCATTCAACCGTGATGGATCGGTGCACGATGCGATGCTCATATACCGTTACATCGTCAACATGATTGTTTTGTTCGTTAATTGGAGAACATCTTTGTTTGAAGAGGTTGCTACTTTGAACTTCAATCGTAATGAAATGTTTGTGTTATATTGCAGTACTTTTGGAAACAATAATAAGATGAGCAATGAATTAACAAAAGTTAGCTATCATTATAATGTAAAAATATTTTTTAAAAGAACTAACAAACTTGCTTGAATCAGGGTGTGTCATGCAGCTGTAACCACTAATCTATAAATTGTGTCCTTGTGTAACAATTTTTAATTGTCCTCAGTACCTTGCTCCGTGCTCGTGCTACCTACCATGTTGACACTGTTCTCCGCTTTAGGACTTCACAAGCGACTTCTTTTTCCGTCAATTTTGGCAAGACCCGCGGCTGGCGTTCGAGGCGCAGGACGGCCTGGTCACGCTCAACATTGGCTCAGAGTACCTGAAAAACCTGTGGGTGCCCGACACCTACTTCCCCAACGAGAAGACCAGCTACTATCACCTGGCCACCACTTCCAACGAGTTCCTGCGCATCAAACCAGCCGGAGATATCCTGCGCAGCATACGGTGAGCAATGAGCACGGAGTGTGGCGCGCACAGCCGCCTTCCAAGGATCTTTTGCTACCGAGCTGAGGTCTTGTCCAAGCTCAGTGACCAGTAACCAGTGTGGGCCAGAGTATGTTGTGGGGAGATGAGATTGGGAAGGGAGGAAAGGGGAGCTGATATTGGAGTTGAACGGGTGGACGGACAGGGAGGAGAGACGAAAGAGCTAGCAGTCGGCGCTGCTGACTCGAGGCTCATTGTGGACTTCTGGCTCCGTGACTCAGCAGCTGCTGAGCTGGTACTCCAGTGATCCTTGCACTGCTGAGCCGGTGACTCAAGCGCTGGACAACCTTTTTCGAGCCTGCTCATGACGTTAACCCGAAAGCTGCTGAACCAGTAACCTGTCCCCTATTGAAAATAGCTAAACAGCTGCTTAGCTGTGTCCGGTTGCTGAGGCAGTAGCCGGTTGCTGAGCTGTGTCCGACAGCTACCGAGCTGGTGTCCAGCAGCTGCTGAGACGGTGTCCAGCAGTTGCTGAGCCGGTGTCCGGTTGCTGAGCCGATGTCTGGCAGCTGCTGAGCCGGTGTCCAGCAGCTGCTGAGCCGGTGTCCGGCAGCTGCTGAGCCGGTGTCCGGCAGCTGCTGAGCTGTGCCCGGCAGCTGCTGAGCCGGTGTCCAGCAGCTGCTGAGCCGGTGTCCGGCAGCTGCTGAGCCGATGCCCGGCAGCTGCTGAGCCGGTGTCTCATGTGCCGGTATACGGGAGGGGGCGCCACCATGCGTGGATTCGATCAATGGCCAGGGACGGACGTCAAACAATGGCTGCTGCCGCCTCAATTCGCCCCCGTCCCCCGCCCCCCGCCGAAATGGCACGGCGTCGGAGCGGGCCAGATAGCGGCCGCTCCTGGACCCATATGCCCGAATTGCCGCCGGAGCTCGGCCACCGCCCTGAATGCAGCCGAAAGCACAGCCATTTACAGCTAAGTGATCATTCGATCTCCAATACCTGGCTGTATCACACCATCCCCGGAGATTTTCCATCAGCATAGGGGCATCGGCGCTGATGGGTGGAGTCCGATCAAATGCAAAATAGGAAAACGAGCACAAAAGAAGAGCGAAAAGGCGCATCGGATACGGATCGGTCAATGCCGTGCGAGGCGTATATACTTGGTGCGCTATATGAGTAACTATTGTTTACTTACGATGCATAAGATTGCTACCATGAGATGGCTTCATCGCCAATTCGAATTCTACTGACGACTACTTCGGCAAATTGATTCATCTCACAAAAGCTAATGGTGGAAAGATAAACAGGTAAATGTCTGGAGTAAAAATAGAAATGTTTCATGAACATGTTGCTCCTGAACGACCGATGTTCTTGGCATCTTCGCGGATACGGACAACGGTCCACATGTGGTGAACCTGCGTCATCACATTTTTTTTTATTTGATCGGCAATTTTAGTTTTAAGTTTGCTTCGGCGTGACCAGCATTTGCAACCGAAGCTCATCTTGGTCCGTTTATGGTCCTATACGCACCGGCCGAGTCGCCGACTGCCGGCTATCGTATACTGACGGACTGTTCCTTCCGCAGGCTGACCATCACGGCCTCGTGTCCGATGAATCTCATGTTCTTCCCCATGGATCGACAGCTGTGCGAACTGCAAATAGAGTCGTGTGAGTATCATCCCGCTGAGCCAAACCTGTTCCCAGCGCTGCTGACATAGAACGAATACTTCCCATGGAACAGTAAACAGGGCACAGCCTCAATCAATGACCGCCGAATGGCGATAAAATTTTCACAGCTCCTGAATGAAATCTATGGAATAGATGAGGCATCACACGCCCGGTGCGTTACGGATACATAATAAATGTAACGCTTGATGAACGCCATTTCTTCCAGAGCTAGTTCAATAGCGTTGTCGATAGGGCATTTGGGCTGGCGGTGCCGCGGCGGCCGCTCCGTCCTTGCTCTCGTTCTGAGGCGTTAGTCCGCTGCCACCAGCTCGCAGGGGGCAGTCGGACGGCCCACGTGCCCGCCACCCGACCGACTTCCTGCTTGGTCGATGGATTTCCCTTGCTTAATAAGCACTATTGGATCAAAGGCTGTCAATTATCGTGGAATTGATGTCATTCAAATGTTGAAACTTCGATCGTTTTATTCGAGAGATAGCGCAAACAATGAAACAGGTTACTTCAGAATCGGATTTCAGACAGTTAAACGTCAGTTTTAGCGCGGTATCGAAACTTTGATTCTGGTCCATTTCAGGGAACAGTTAAGTGCCAGTCAGTTGGCTATTTTTGCATCGGAACTGCTCACAGGAAAATAATTATATAAAGTTACAACCACTTAAAGCGCTCCTTATTTTTTAACTTTATATAACTAGAAACGTATAGTATAAATGTAACGAATCAAATAGTGAAAGTGGTATCACGTGCTCAACGTTTTAGATCCATGTTTCATATAAGATCCATATAGAAAAGATGTGTGAATTGCTTTTGGGAAAACTCCAAATCCCGCAGCTTTTCTATCGACTCAAATGCCAACCATGGTCAATATGCGTAACGTGTATTTGAAATAATAAAGTCCTTGATACTAGTCCTAACCTGTCCGTAACTTTTCTGTATGTAAACCGAACTTTTAAATGCTGTTACTTTTGTCATCGCACATTCTGTCCGGTTGCTATGTCGTATCATGGTTACCAGTCCTGTTGTCAGCAACATCTTCTTGGCTAAGCTGCTGTTGCTGTCCATTGATAACGTGACCAGATATATTAACCCGCGCCCTGGTGGGGGGGCTATTTTTTGCCCCCCCTCCAGACTTTTCGATATATCTCCAGAACCGCTGCGCCGATCGTCACCAAACTTTCAGTACCCTCCCGGACATCAATTTTACACATTGTGACCAAAAATTTATCCAAAGGCTATGATAGGTTGGCCGGAAATGACGTCAGAGTGACGTCATGTTCTGCCGTTTTCGACCCAAAAAAGGGTTTCGCGGGAAGAGCTGTCAGGCCTATAGCTTTGCAAATACAGAAAAACGATAAAGACATAAAAGCTGTAGAATTGACAGGGCTACAAAACTGCTATCTCGGATTTTTGAAATTTTTGGATTTTGACCCCCAAAAATCAAAAAATAGATTTTTTGATTATAATAGCCGAAAAATCCAAAAAGTTTTTTGAATTTCGAAAAAAAACCGGAATATATGTGATAGTCCTTATCGCCTTCTATCTACATACCAAATTTGAGATCGATACCTCTTTTTTTGGCCAAGTTACAGCGAAAAAACTGTTCAAAATTGATGACGTCAAATTTTCAAACTCAATTTTTTGCAATTCTAGACCTCGTAGCGCAAAACAAAGACCACCATTAGACTCCCCGTGACGAGCTGCATCGAATCAATACCCATTTTATGCAAAAATATCAACTTTGAAATTTGACCTTTTTTGACCTGACCTTGACCTGACCTCCACCAGAAAGTGGCCTAAGCCGTACCTGATAGTCTTATAACCAACACCATTGAGTTGGAAATGAAAAATTGGCCATAAAACATGCATCGCACAACCTTAGTACCTAAAGTTAGGTTCATGTGACCTGACCTGTGACCCTTGGTGACCTGACCTGTGACCTGGTAATGTCAGTGACCTCTTATAGCAATATATGTACTAGGCAACTGACGCCCTATCGCTGATTCTCGACAAAATGCGTTTTCTTCGGTGTTATAGCGCATTCCCTAGATGACCCGTGAACGGTGAAACATTTCATCTTTGACCTGACCTGTGACGTCATCGGTGACCCCGAGGTCAATGAAATTTGGTTTCCCTCGACAAATTTGACAGGCCTTTCGAACGCCGTTTGAATTTTGCGGATCCGTCCAGTAGTTTCGGAGATACGAGGGGGGGGGCAAAAAATAGCCCCCCCCCCACCAGGTCGCGTTATAAACAGACCCCACCAGGGCGCGGGTTAATCCACAGTGATGACCTTGATCAACTCTATTTCAGTTACCCTGCTTCCCTTCTGATGACGAGGCCGTGTCTTTTCCTAGCTACTGTACTTTCTCATGCCGTGACCGGACGGATTATCCCAATCACTGTGGTGTTTACTTAGTGTGGTCAGTTTTCCTCCTGACTGTAAGGTTTGTGTCTCCCTGACGACAAAATTGGACGTATCTTTAGTCTTTGCTGTTCTGATATCATGACAGGCAGATTATCACGCTATTCTCATAGTGCTTCCGGAAGTTCGGAAAACGATCCTGGGTGTATTACTGTGCTGTTCTGTCAGCTTGTCTGTGCGCGTCCCTTGTCATGTGGTGTTCTGATAATGCTCTTGGGCGTACATCTAGTCACTGTGCTGCGTCCTGTTGTCATAGAGGCGCCTATCTCCAGTCGCCGTGCTGTCCCCTGATGACAATATCGAATTTACCTCCAGTCGGGTACGCCACTGGCGATATCCGATATATATGGAAGGGCGAGGAGCCCATAAAGATAGACGATGATGTGAAATTGCCCCAGTTTATTGTCATGGGCCACAAAACGCACAGCATTCTCTTCACAACGTCGACAGGTGAGGGTGCTGCGTGCGCTGTACTTACAGGCCGCCGCCGCCGCCCCAGCCGCCGCCGCGCCCGCCCGCAGCTCAAGGCCCGCTCTGACCGGGCTCTGCCGGCCGCTGACGGGACAGTCTCGCCGACACGCTTGGCTTTCGGCTGTCTGTCTGTCTGTTTGTGTGTGCGGGTGTGTGTGCCGGTGTGCGCGCCCTACCTCCGCTGTGTCTTCCCCTGTCTGACAGTCGGCTACACGACCACCGAGATCGGCTATATCTGGAAGGACGGGGCACACTCGGTTAAAGTGGAGAGCGGCGTCTCGCTGGCTCAGTTCAAAATAATCGGTCACAGACAACGGACTATTTTATTTCAAACGTCAACAGGTATTTTCATACACCACAAGTGCAGTTGGGCATTTTTCATAATTATACGACAATATCAAATATTTCTGGCTGATCAAACAAATCTGGTCTTACTCTACTGCAAATTCGTCAAGACCTCTTTCCGCTGTAATGCTCGGAATGGTCAACTAGTGTAGGTAGGATATCAATGAATTATCGCTAGTAGTTGAGCATGAATGATCAACGTAAAACATTTTCTTTGTTTTTGATCTAAATCTAAACTCTATCATCGACCAACGGCTGTAGGCTCTGCCACTTCCGCCCGTAACCGAGCGAACGTTTAGTTCGTCCTCCATTCTTGAGGGCACTGTCAGTTTGTAACGTGACTGCAATGATTGTGTTATGAAAAATGAAAATAACTCTATCATAGAGATGAACAAAATTCAGGTCCTGCGCTGCCATTTAGGCCCTCCTCAAGAAGCGCGAGCTGAATGAGATCGATATGCACAGAATATAAATTGCGGAATCTGTAGGCGTTAACTTTTCATTTTGGAAATACTTAATCGATATGTATTATGCTTTGTGCAATGTTCGTACTGCATAATCGCACATTTGACCTTACGGTGCTATAAACTCTCGCCTGTGTTCCGCCATTATAGACGGCTGTGAGTCTGTGACGCCCCTGTCACGTGACTGGCGTCTGGCCAATCCGCGTCAGGAGGCCCCGGGCGGTCTGCCGTTCGGGGTGCGGGTTGGTGGATTGGCCCGGCACGTGGGACCAAGGCCGGGTCCGCCTGCAGGCGGACCCGGCCTTGGTCCTGTAGAGGCGTGGTGTCTCAATCTCAGGGGAGGGAATACAAACCATTTCAGACAGCGTTTTGGCCCTCTGGCTTGTATTGTAATTTTGGAAGCACGTTGTTTGCTTCAGTGCACGTCGAAAGCGTCATTCCCCATTTATTACGAAATAGTGATATGGTCTATAGGATCTTTGAAATGTCGCAAATGTTCTTTACAAAGCTCAGTAAGTAAACTTACAAAATGACCTAGTAATTGGAGTTTTATGGTGTGAAAGATTTCTTGACGAGTAGCTTCTCTTTTTCATAGAGCTTCCCAACTGCACTTTAAAAGAGGTTGAAGTTCTGTTGAGTCTTGTATTTTTTGTTTTGTACACTGTGCAACATTTCGGCAGTTGTACACTGTGCAGTATCTGTCACTAATTAAAAACAGGGGCGGATTGTACCGTTGTTATTCATTTGTGCATTGAACGACTCATAGTTGTGTTAATTTATTTATTGAATGCCATCTTAAACTATGCTTTATTTCCCTTGTGTTCCGGAACATAGATTATGTGACACTCAAAAACTTAGCAAATGCTTGCGTCATGAATAAGATTGTAGGTAGTCTTCCTTTTACGTGTGTGCATAATCAGACAAGTGAACACCAATAACACCAGAATTATCATAACACTGGTATACATAACAGTTTTTAAAAACACTAAGGATAACAAAATTTTATAAATGAACCAGGTTAAAATAAATCCGCCCTTGTATGAAACTTGAGAGAAACAATATCATTTCTCAACCTACCACTGCATAAATTAGCGTCATTTCTTAGATCGGCTGCCATTAGCTTAATCGCGCAGCTTTGAAGTCGCTAATCAATTGCCCATAATTCAACGGTCATTGGTCGCGCAATGGCTATAATTTGATTTCTTTCAAGTTTCAATAGCACACTGTGATTCACCAGCGGGTTGTGTTGATCGGTTTCCGGAGCACCGTTCGTGCTAGACTTGTCAAATCAATGGCCGACGAATGACCTGCACGCCTGTTTGCCTCAACTGACTGCATGTCGTGCTTCTGGCTGCATGCCTATCGCCTATTGCCTACCCTCGAGTTCTCTGTTCGTTGTGTGAGTGCTGGGGCCGCCCGCTGCTGCCAGGCTGATCTGGAGCCGGCTTCATCTACTGCCCGGACCGCTTAGTTGGTACTGAATCGCCCAGAATCCTCTGCTAAATACGATGGATTCCATCTGCACTGCGGAGTTCAGGGGCATTGCTGGGCCGAGCCCCAACAGCCCACATGCAGACCCTCCCTGCCCTTCCTTCCTCCGATCGGGCATAGGCACACAGCTTGGCTGAATCTGATCTTAGATTGTCCAAAGAGTGCAATGGTGGTCGGTTTCAGGGCATAAAGTTGGCAAATGTATCAGCATTATTCATTGCACAATGCTCAATCTTTATTAGTAAAAATTAGTGCTCTGACGTCTTGTTTATTTAAACACCACATCTAGTTTTGATGAAGCTCATTAATTAAATGTATGAGCATTCGTAAAAAGAGAAACATGAAAGGTTGTACTATACATAATATGCAGTGTGCATAGGTCATTTGCACGGCCTCTGAAATTACATCAGTAATTCAGTTAACAAAGAAACAGGTGGGGACAGCCACGTAGCCTTTTAACTCGCCCCATGACCTTTCATTGTGCAATGTTGACATAACACCATGGCGTGTTGACACAGCAACGGGGAGCGAGAATCACAGAACTCTGGCTACATGTAGCTACCGAACTGGCACCACGTCGGGAACGGCGGCGAGCTCGGCGACATGAACGGACACTTTGATCCCCTCTACTCGGTGTAGTTTTTATGACACCGCTCGCTCCCCAGGTGGGCACAGTGTTGTGTTTGACAGGCCGAGCCGATGCAACATTTTGCGAGGCTTCTGTGGTTGACAAGCGTGAGGAAACCATACAATTACCTTCACAGCCACCGTGAAGATTAGTCAAAGAACTGACGCTGCGCAGCAAGCTGTGTCAAAATAATCTGCGCCAACGGTAAAAACCGCGTACGTTTTTTCCAGCTTGATCCATCCATGTCACGAAAGCTGTAGTTTGCCTCATGCAAGGTGAGCTTAAACAGTAAAGAGGCAAACGTGCTGCAAAAATCAGCAGGGTCCGCTCTTACTAAGCCCATGGTTTCTCATTACGAATCCCATTACGACTCCATTGGATGCAGTCTACCGTTAATTGGCTCTTAAAATCTTGCTATTGTGTGCGTCCACAAATAAATCAAATAACAAAATATATTCACCGTCGGCCGGATATAAGGGCTTTAAACGTCCGGAGAGACTACTGGCTCTCTGTCCCCGGGCGGCCACTTTGACGTCACACCGCCTCTGAGCGAACTGGGAGTGCCGCGGAGCTGGCGGGCACGTTCCGTCGCGTCGAGCCGTCAGTCACTGTTCCCGGACTGGTGTGAGCGTGAGTGGCGGCCGACACTAAAACACGGCGCCCCAGAGCCAGTGGCCGTAGCGACATAACTGCCGAGCGGGCAGACAGAGACGGAGAGTGGCCTGCCATAGAGAGCGCCGCGGAGTCACTGAGTGCAGGACGCCACTGAGAGAGCACCGGCAAAGTTTCCTCACTGAGGGTGTCACAAAGTAACATCAGCAGTTCGCCAACGAGCCAGTCTCGGCCTTCACGGACAAAGCATCTCGGCGAGTGTGTGACGGACAAAGGGACCCGCTCGGCGGCGCGCGGTGTCACGGACAAAGTGTCGCCAGTGGGCGCGGCGCGCCGCGGTAATGGCTCTGATGGCCGCCGCCCGCCTCGCCCTGAGTGCCATACTACGCCCAGTTGCGCGGTAATTGCGCCGGGCCTTCCGATGTCATTAATATATCCCCCGGCGCTGATGTGCTGTGGCGACGGCCTCTGCCCCATACCAGTTGCTCCGACGACGTTGTCGCCTCGCCCTCATGTCGTTGAAGGCGCTGCGATAATCATAGACCGACCGTCATAGATAGATCTCAGTCGACTCGACACCGCTCCTATATTCGATCATGTATTGCGTGATCAAATAGACGACTAAAGGCCCGCTATTTTTGGTGGCTGGATTCTACCCCAGGTGAAAAGAATGTCAAGTGTTGGCTGCTATCGAAGTCATGGTAATGAAGTCGGTCAAATACAATACATATATCAAAGAAGAATGTGTGATAAATATGTCACAAAATAATTTAAATTCTGCATTTTGCTTTCTAATTGCGATGCAATCCAAATCGTCTTTTCACGACAAAAAGCCACCGCATACATAAGGGCCTCGATAATTGTGTCACTCAAGCAGACGCTATCGAGGGAAGAATATAAGAAATAACATTTACTATTTTATGCAACGTGCATAAATGATTTCGCCTGAATGGAGCGTTAACTTCTTGCCTTCATTGCCTCTTCGCTCGCTCTGAAGCCAGAGCAGAAAATCACCCCGTGGAAAGGCAAAGCGATTCAAATAGAATTCGAATCTAAAAGTCTAATGGAATCGACCCACTAAAAACAGCGAGTGGTCGCTGACGGCGCTGCAAGGAGGCATGGAGATTGGCGAGCTAGCTGCCCCCCCCCCCCGCTCCCAGTCAGACAGCATCAGTTGACTTGATGGTCGAGATAATAGTGGTCCACACAGCAGTGGTATCCATACAACCCACCACGCCGCCACCCTCATATACTGTAAGGGGAACGCTGGTGTGTGTTTTAGATGGTCTCAGACAATTAACGGGCTCAACAGGGTGTCCCATACAAAGCTAACACCACTGAACTCTAATATATACTGGAAGGAGCATTGGTGACTTGTTTTTGTCTATCGATTTCCGCCATGTTGTGTATACCAGAAATATAAATTGCATGTACGGTAGCATAGGTGCAGTTTAGTGAGAGGTACACTACTCAAAAGTGCTGCTGCTTCATGCTTGCAGTTTGATTGCAGTGATCAACTTTTCAAGACTTTGGTATACACAACATGGCGGAAATCGTTAGACATTCTGGCCCATATACGGCCAAGGCGAGTGCCTCCCCCTGGCTAACACACAGATGGGCGAAAGCATGCAGCCACACAAGCACAAGTGTGCGTATGTTGCATGCATTGCTGTGTAGCGTCAAGTGTGCTTGCTGTTCTGCCTCGCATTTTGCTGTGCTGTGTTAGCTGTCCCACAGTCGTTAGCAGTTACTCGTCTCTTTGCAATGATCGTGATCAGTGATAAGCTCAGGTTTTGGTGAATCAGATTGTCGCATTTTCACAGCATTGTGGATCACCTCGAAGCAGCATGATACAGTATCACAATAATTGTCTCACGTGTATTGAGGGCACCTCTGACCACTGACGCCTTCTCTGATAATTCGGACTGGAACTGACCTAACCGTGCGGCTGTTCCGTCCAGGAAACTACTCCCGTCTGGCGTTGGAAATCCAGTTTGAGCGCTCCATGGGCTACTACCTGATACAGATGTACGTGCCGTCGAGTCTCATCGTCATCATATCATGGGTAAGTTCTAGAGAGCACGCATAAATGTCATCCTTGAGCACTTGTGTTCTGAAACATGAAAAACATTGTTCGGTCATCATTTATATTTTCATGTTTTTTTTAGTTGCATTTGCTTACGGTGAGTCAGACTGCAGAAATACCTTATTAGATCAAAAGAGTGGATAAGGATCATGTGCTATTTTCTTTTTGTATAACCGTTTGCTTGTTTTCCACCCCTGATCTCGGATGCCAAACATAGGTATAGCACCTTACCGTCTCCATACCGTCAAGCATAGACGGCGGAACGGGGAGGGTACCGGGGCACCGTGCCCCCTTTGATTTTGGCATTTTAACATTAGCCCTATGGGCGTTGCATGGAAAGAATGGGACCAAAAGTCGGCAGTGCCCCCCCCCCCTTAATTGAAGGTGTTCCGCCGCTACTGCCGTCAAACTTTTAAGACATTAGACGTGACGGTGCACACATAAACGTACACCGTCCGTTGCTGAAAAGTGTTCTTGAGAAAAGCAAAAGTAATTTTTTTGATGAATCAATGTATCTTTATTTCCATTCGCATTCCATTCCATTCCATTCCTTCTCCATTTCAAACGACGTCCGGCCACCCGCGCTCGATCGCAGAACCACATCACTGCACTGGTAGACTGTACCGCAGCACAGTTGAGCGCGGCGGCACAGCCTAAATCACAGGTAAAGACTAGACTGGTGGGCGCCAGGCGCGGCGCCTGCCGACAGCGGCATTGACGCTGACGTGATAGCGCTGCGGCAGACGACGGCGGTTGGAGTGTGTGCTCTTGACACTGCCGGAGTTTGATGTTCACTGTTTCTGTCAGGCTAGTTCGTCGACCCCTTCAACGGAGACAGCTCTCACTGAATGGGTGCGCTGTATCAGGCAAAATGTTGGGCTGTTATAACGCATCGAAATCGATTTATCTTGAAGCTACGACTACAGATCGATGTGAAGACTATAAATAAGCGCTTATCTTTTTAAAGGACTGCTGATCAGAATTGTGTCGACAGCGGATCAGAGCGGATCGACAGCTGGGTGGTACCCACTGGGTGGCCACAATGTGCCATCGTCAGACGATTTCTCACAGGGGTCTCCGCTCCACCATCAGTTGGAGTGGTCGGCCATTCTCGGCCCGGTATTGGTCCTCCGACCACAAATCGACGGCCTCTCGCGGCCGCTGCCCCGGACAAAAACATTAAGCAAGATAGATCGTCCGTGAATCATACTTAACTGGGCGCCCACACGTCTTCGAGAAGCCTACCATTTGGGCAGTTCAGCACTAAAATAATTCCTCATGAAATATGGCAAAATCGAACAAATCGATAGAGCATCTCAATGTCCCATCATACGGACGGATCTTTGAATAGACTTATTCATATTTTCTATGAAAAGAAATTGTGATAAAATCAGATTAGCTTCAGTTTAAAGGCATCAGAAAGTTAAATAGGCTGTGAACATCACTTTTCTTCATGCATTGCCTGGAATAATGCAATGAAAAAAATATTCAGTCATCATCAATGAAGACTACTGTAAGCAGCGGGGATCACAACTAGAAACACAAGCATATGAAAATAACCACAAATAATAACCCGGTTTACGTAGCATATTTGACGAGGCTCTAGCTCGTTAATTTGGCGATAATTTCGATGCATCAACTGATGAGCCACTGGTGGCGCATCATTGGAGTGGATGATGTCGGATGACTGTGAATGTGATGAGGTGATCTGAGTGTACCTAATAAATGTATATTATCGAGAAAAAAAAATAATTTCGATGCAGTGGTCTTCAAATATTTAGAGGGGATCATTTTGTAAATTGTTAAGCACCATTGGCATCTTTTGCAACAGCACGGACGGAGATATAAGCTTGCAACAAACCCTATGTAAACGCGTCTGATGTTGTTCGAAATGAACGCACAACCTAGCAATTACAATGCGAACGTTTCTATTTTCAGGTGAGCTTCTGGCTGAACCGCAACGCCACGCCTGCCCGAGTGTCTTTGGGAGTAACAACCGTGCTCACCATGACCACCCTCATGTCGTCCACAAACGCTGCCCTGCCCAAGATCTCCTACATCAAGGCCATTGACGTCTACATGGGAACCTGTTTCGTCATGGTGTTTGCATCTCTCTTAGGTAAGCATCTCAAACTGCTCAACTAGCCACATTTTCTTTGCGAGTATTATCTTGATTGTTGGATATGAATGGCGAGACCATGCCAGACACTTGGGCCAAAACTTGATTACTGTTTTAATTGTGCTCTCCGCCAGCGGCGCTTATTTGTAATTGTGCTGTAATGTTGGCAATATGTATAACAAGGTTTAGACCAAGCGTATCCCTATCATATCGAACTGTATTCATTTATGTTTCATGCAACCATTCATTTTCCTGCCAAGTAAATCTAGATCGACACCTATTTTGGAAGCGCATGCTAAATATCTGTGAGTGACTTTATTCAAAATAATGTATTTAGTCTCATGTGTGTCACATACGTCTCTCTTGCTCCATTGTAACACTGTACCACTGAGGAAGGGCCACGCCCGAATATATATTGGTCTTTAATTTTTCAATTCCTTCAGATATGAGCAAGAGGTTATTTTTCATACTCCTGATAATCTTGTGCTGTAATATATTTGTTTATCTAAATTTACTCATAGATGAAAGCAGTAGAAGCAGTTGCCCTTTGAAAAGCCTCGAAGTTTGCAGCAGTTCATAAGTTAGTACATCTCAAGCCACTCAGTATCGGAGTATATGACCCATGCTGATGTGATGTAGCTGGATATATATTTTACAGCTGTCACGGCAGCCATGTAGCTCAACACAGCGGGCTACTATTAAAAGAGTTATGTGCCGATTGTTGTTGAACGTAATCATGTCACGATATGGCCAGGCAACTTCGTCACCGCCCCAAGTGCCTGCTGTCGGTTGACGTGGTACACGACGGGGTTCCTATGGCGCTGCCACTAACAGACATATTTCGGATGTTCACAAACCTTTTATGAAAGTTAGAAGAGTCGGTTTAGAAAAAAAAGTAAATTGTTTTTGATACTATTTTTAGCTATTTGTTGGCTGCTATTGAAAAATGTTTGTCTCGAATGATTAAGATTGCCCAAGCGCTTGATAATTGTCTGTACATGATCGACTATAATAGTGACACTGTTTTTCCTCCCTTCTAATTGATTTTTGGTTGTAACATTCTTGTAACAAAGAAGGCAGGCGCATTGGGAGTTCTGGTCATATTCTACATGCTAATGGACTAGGATATATGTAAAGACTAGCCACCTCTTTAATCCTAAGCCCTTCTGAAGATAAATATATGAGCTAATTTCAAGCTTCGCTGGCAAGGACAAGTCCTGATTACGAAGAGTTATTTGATAGGAATATCTGCATGGATAAATTAGATTATAATCGACGGCATGAGACATCAATAACGCAGTTAAAGCTGCACCAGTGGTCTTATCCTCGCACTTAATCAATGCTCTGATTCATGACCCAGTTTATTAGTCAAATTAGTCAAATTACTTATCAATCAAACTTTGGGGCTTTAATAAGAACAGTTGGCATATCTTTCATTTCATGTCGATGTTACTTTACCGCACGTAAGTGAGAATAGCTTCTTAACCCTAATTTGTCCTAAACCGAGCGCAAACAAGGCTCTGTAATTGCTCTCACCAAATAATGGTATGTACAGAAACGTGTTAGGATATTAGTCAGACCACGAAAAGATGCGTCTGTGTTTTCTAAATGTGTCGCATTGACTGTTCGTAACGTGTGCATTGCGCAGTGCGCTCCATATGAAAGCTCGGCACACAATGTTTGGTCCGTATATTTATCATTCGGAAACTCCCCAATGCCCAGGCGGCTTATCCAATTCTCATCTGCTCAGGACGGAGCGGCCCTCGTTTGATCCCCGGTGTTGGTGCTCCAAAAACCCACTCAGCCACTTCAGGCCCTGTCCAATCGGCGCCGCTAGCCGCGGATTTCGGTTTTCCGTCTGGCGGCCGCCAATTTCACGCCGACTGACGGCGTTGACCCGCCGATCAGAGACCTTCCTGTGAACTGAGGAGTTTTTTGACGATCCTCCCCGGCACTGAGGCGTTTTTCGCCGAGCCTTTCCCGCTCTGAGGCGTTTCTTGAGGACCCTCCTCGGCATAGACTCACCGACCGCGAGACTTTTCAACGCTGGCCTACCTATGGAGGGTCCTCTCCATCCCCGACCCGTCTATCGAGCCCCTCTCCACCCTGATCCGTCGACCGGTGATGACCTTTGACCCTGGTCTGTCAATCAAGGTTCTGACCCGTCTATCGAGCCCCTCTCCGACACTGACTTACCCTGGTGTCGTTTCTGCCGTCAGAGTACGCCTACGTGGGCTACATTGCCAAGAGGATCGGCATGCGGCGCACGCGACTGATGGCCATCCAGAAAATGGCCATCGAGAAGATGCAGCGGGACGTTCGTGACCACACAGCCATGGTCATGGCCGACGAGCACACGTCCAAATCTGCTGTGAGTCATACTGCGCTGGTGGAGACTGAGGCTAGAGCTCAGGGTGTGCGGGTGCTGGGGATGGACTGGATTGACAGACGAGGCTGGAATTATGGCTGGAATGAAACAATGAACAGCATAGAGATGTCGCAGCTGGAAAGCTGGCAGTTAATTACAATAATCCCGGAACATAAAGAGTACACCTTTACAAAAAGATCAATAGGCTTCACCAAAATGAGCACCATTTCCTGCTTTCGTTATACGTATAGGCATCTACTGCCAAGAGTATTAGGTCTACGATAGATTTCGGTCTCAGCTGGCATTTGGTCGCCTGGTTGGTGAGATGCTACCGGTTCGTGACGGGCGCAGAGGGCGCTGTGGGCTCGGAAGGACAGCTCCGGTGGCGCTATCGGCGGCCTGAGAGGACACAGAGCCGGCGGCACTGGAGAGATACTAGGCTGCAGATGTCGCTGCTCACTGCAGCCAGGGTAGCTGAGACACTGCGGGACATCTTTGACCCACGACTCACGCATATCAGACATTGCGTTCCATCGAGTGCCGATTATATGTGAAACTTTGTGACTTAAGCGCTGTTCTGCGGACGTTATGATCAGCCTGTCCTGGCTGTTTCTAAGCTCGGTCGGGCTGTGTCTAATGTCTGTGTTCGGCCCGTGCGGTGTATGGAATAATGTAAAGCTGCATGTCTTGTGTGTTATTGAGTTGTGTTATTGAGCGTTGCTGTGACCCGTGCCGCCTGTGCCGCGCAGATGAGCACATTGCGGCGGGGCCACTCGGGTCACGGCGCCCACCACGGCGGCCACGGCACTCACTCGTACCAATGCGGCCCGCAGCCCTGCGCCGACCATCGAGAGGCGCATACCTGCGTAAGTATCTCGAACACACACCGGAGCTCAGCTTATCGCAACGAACTCACGCCTCAGCTTGATCTAGGGGGGGGGGGCTCGGCGCGAAATCCACTGGATGTTCGTGTAATCCCTGACCTATATATCATATATGAATAGATATTGAGCCGCAGGAAATTGAATTATTAAATCTTAACTTCGCTTCATAGTTTCTAGGCCACGATCTCCCGGTGTTGAAGTTTGTGATGAGGGTGCAATAAAAACTGTGGTTAACCTTCAATAGTGATATCAATTAAAAAGTTTCAGGGTATCCTAATATAAGCGCAGATGATTATAAAGTTACAATGTTTACGAGTTTGTCCGTCTGTCCCACAGGAGGTGAGGTTCAAGGTCCACGATCCGAAGGCCCACTCGAAGGGCTGCATTCTGGAGAACACCATAAACGGCGGCAGGCATGACGAGGAGTCGGCCAACATGGCGTGTGAGTTCCCGGCGGGCGGCGGCGAGACGTTATGCAGTCACTACAAGTGTGATACGTCTACAGATCCTTTTGGTCTTAGTCCCGACTGATGATGACACGGACGTCGCCACTAAACATACATTGCAGTCAGGGCAGTAGCTTAACATGGCATGAGATGAAAACAACAGCAAACAAAAATAATATGGAAGAAACACTACGCCGTAACGCCGAGTTAATAAATATACAAAAGGAGGGAGATCTCATGGCTTCTGACCGTATAAGGTTTGATATCAATCTGCGCCTGTCTCGCCGCGCCTGCGCCGAACTCTGGCGCTCGCGTTCCGCCGCGGCGACTGGTCGTCTCCTCAATCACGGCGCATTGATATGGTAATCCGATTTGTGCCGGCGCTGACTGGCGCTCCGTACAGGCCGGGTAATTAGTGCTGGTCCCGTGACCGAGCGGTCCTCTCCGGCGGGACTGAGAGTCGCGGGACCATCCCCGTCGGGCGGGTGGCCCGGAACTGACAGTCGAGGGACCAGCCCCCTCCTCGCCTCACCGAGAACGACAGTCACGGCCTTTCGACCGAACAGTTCTCCTTAGACCAGCGATTGGACAGTAGTTTACCCCCCCCCCCACCCTCCCAGTGCTGTACTTGATTACTTGTCTCTATGTATGAGCAATGATCATTGATCAGGTATGGTTTTCGTATACTGAATTGTATCGTCTCTTTTCACAGCGCTGTTGAAGAGCAAGAAAGTCAACAAGCTGTTGGGCTGCAGTCCCTCGGATGTGGACAAATACTCGAGGATCGTGTTCCCCGTGACGTTCATCTGCTTCAACCTCATGTACTGGATCATCTACCTGCACGTCAGCGACAAGGTGGCTGAGGGCCTGGTGCCGTTTGTGAAGAAGTAGGTACACCGTAGCGCCGGTCCCCCGCCGCCGCCGCTCACCATCCGCGGCCGGGCCGGCGTCGGCAGCGCGGCGTTTTTATAAGTATTTTTGTATGGAGCCACTGTATTCGGCGCGTGTTGAGTATACAGAGGCGATGGTGTGGCAGCAGCACCAGACCCCTGGGTGGAGCGGTGGCAGACATTTCGGCACAGCCTCGGTTAGTGGGGTAGGCTGGAGGGGATGTCTGAAAGGATGGTGACCCTTTGATGGGGTATCTGGGGGTCTAACGGGGTAGTGATACTGGGGTCCCGTTTTACCGGTATGGTGGGGGGGGGACGGGTCGTGATATGAACTTTCCCCGCTGGAATAGGACAAATGGGACATGGAGCACCGTGTAATTATACGTTAGCAGTGTTTGATGAATGTCATGGCTCGGGGAACGGCGCTGACAGGCGATATTTCACTGCAACCGGGGCATAACAAGGCACATGGTTCACAACATGCAACCTGTTCATTAATTGTTCAACGTTCATGCATTCAAATTTTCGTTTTATTCGTTCTGTTCTTGGCGGCGGTGTTCTATAGAACAACTAACTGTTCATTTGAGGCCAGTTTAACTTAGGAAATATCGCCAGCTGTGTTTTTTCAGGCTAATGAAACAATACACTTTCAGACACTTTCTAACAGGTATAACAATGCAGTTAAGGTTCCCTTTGGGATGGGAAGCATCATCATCCCACTCACTCGCTTGTTCTAAAGGGCTCGCAGTGAACGTGGGAGCACTGCTACATAAAATGGAACAGGCAGTCGAAGATATGGGAGTGGGGAGTGGGGAGGGTATGCACCTGTGGGGGAGGGGACACATGTGAGGGGAGCACCTGAGGGGGTGGGTGGTCTGCATCAAACAGGCGAGCGTACACAATCGTCTCGCCGAAGGACTGATGAAATCACGATGGACTGGAGTGGTGACTGAGTCTCACCGCTGCGTGAAACTGTAGAGCGCTGTGTGCACCATCGCTGCTATTACTGCATCCAATGTCGCCGACGCCTTGCGACTGCTCCTCGGGTTCCAGCGCCGAACTCTGCTCAACCGAGCCGGACAATCCTAGTGGCGCGGCGCTCACCTGCGCGAGTGGGGCGGCCCGCGCGGCGGCCGCCCGGACTAGCCCGGCGTCACGCCATCCTTCTTTTCTAACATACCTACTTACCTTCGTGCGAACTCGGCCCCGCGAACTGTGTACATTGTGAGATCACCGGTGTACGCTCTGCATTTGCGTGACCCTCGGCACCAGCGCTGCGACCATGTCACTGTCAGGCCCACTCCCCGAAATGGATGAGTCCATTCACGAATTTGCTCAAAGAAAGGTGGTGTGGGGTCTGAGATGCGAGAGCCGTTTAGCGGTTGGAGTGCTCGCTGCATAGGCGACGGTTTGTGCCAGCAATAAGATGGCCCCTTACCCTATTCTCACTCACCTCGTTCTCAGTTTGTGTTGGGTGCCGTTTCGCTGTCGGGCAATGCTGAGCTGCTAAGCGCGCTGAGAGTGATATATCTGTTTTTCATACTGCAGCTGTCTCGGATCTGTAGGCAGACGCTGGTGGCACAGCACAGCTTATAAGGCCGCTGACTGGCTGCCGGAGGTGTATTGTGTGAACGGGTCTGGCTGGGGCGTGCGAGAGAATCACTGACTTTGGTACGAGCTTGGCGCTAGATACAGTTAGAACTGCCTGCTTAGCGTGCACCAAAGGAGTGGAAAAGTTGCAGAGCATGCACTATATGCAAATGGCTTCAACATGCTGCATTTGCTGCTATCGAGGCGTTGAATAAATTAGAGATAAGACATATGGGAAACTGTGTTTTATTTCTGGTTTGTCTGGTTTTTATTTGCATGTATTTGGACAAGCTGGAGATAAGTATGAACAAATGGCCCGGTCGATCAGTTTCTCGCAATACACTAATACCCACCAACAAGGAACTCTGATTTGGTTGGCTTGCAGTGGCGATGTGTCACTTCCCGATACAGGTAGCTGGGGAATAATACGGCTACACCTGCCGAAAGAGCACCCAAGAGGCATCAAAACTCGGAGGGAGAGAGAGAGAGAGAGAGAGAGAGAGAGAGAGAGAGGGGGGGGAGGGAGGCCGGCCAGACAATGGCCCGGGTACGGACCGATTCCTATGATCAGTGTTATCCATTGGGCTGTATCCCTATGACCACCGTTATCCATTGGAGTGATGGCCGCGGCTCCACTGACCACGGACGATGGCTGGTGATGGATGACGCCGCACTCAGCATTGGGTATGATAGGCTGCCACTGCCGCACCCGAAACCGGCGGGTGTAACAAGTGAGAGATAAATGTGAGATAGTTGCGTACTAAAGTAATTGGAGAAGCTCTAATATCCTTTTTTGTGTTGGTGGGTATCATCACATCCCATTTGACGGCAAATAATCTTTCGCTGTAGCCAGGAGCCTGCCACTAATAGGGTTAAATAAAGAATGTATGATAAACAGTTATTAGGTACCTACCTATTCTTATGCAATTAGCACATAACGTTTTACGAATGAAATATTATCGCTGTAAAAATACGTGAACGAATAGAAGATACAAATAGAATAGTTATATAAAATCTTCCTTTTTTGTAGGGGAGAGGCGGGAGAATTGGGACGCAGGAGAATAGGGACACGCCAATATTTAAAAAATGGGCAGCATCCTTGCACGATTTTTGCCTTTACCTTTTGATTCAATGTGTCGTGCAACGACGGGAAGCCTCAGCAACCCTTTTGTGTCCGTCGGTTGGGCTGTGCTGGCTGAGCACCAAAAAACTTGTTTTTTCGAGTGTTATTCTGAGTTGTCTGTGTATTGCATATGACAAACTATCTTTCTTTCAAGATGTTACGATGTAAGCTTAGCACCGCCTTTATGCGATTGCCAGTTTGCATGAACACGCTCTGAAACTGACAAATGACAAAAAATGCGTCATTTGATATAGCGGTGTTGTGGGAGAATTGGGACACCAAATAGTGAAAATGGTAAAAAGGTGCAAAAAGATGTGTATTTACCTTCATGTTTTGGACGGGGTTGCAGCTGCGCTCCCTAACCACAAATGCATCAAAGCGTAGACCAAAAAGTCTTAAAATGTGCATTTAATGGGAACATTGTGATCGTGAAAGACAATCCCGGCCTTAACGAAGCAGATAATGTGAATATAAGTTCCAACGTTTCAATTGATTGCCTAGACATAGACAGATCAATAATGCGAGATAAAAATGTTGTCCTAATACCTCATTTTTATGTGTCCCAATTCAGCCTCGTGTCTGTCCCTTTTCTCCTGCGTGTGTCCCTATTCTCCCCAAAATGAGTGTTTTTGTTTTTCTCCACACATAGCCACACCACTGCATAGGCTCGTTTTTTTATGATGGTATGCTGCAGAGAAATGGCCTATCTTTTATTGGTGCTGCACATAGCAGCTTGGCAACAATTCTTTTCAAATAATGCCTCAGTAAATATGGCTTGAGAAATAAGTCCCAATTCTCCCGCCTCTCCCCTATCCCGGTTGAGCGTCGGATTCCCGGTGGTGAGAGGTCGGGTTCAGTAGCGGCGGAACACCTTCACTTAAGGGGGGGGGGGCACTGCTGACTTTTGGTCCTATTCTTTCCATGCAACGCCCATAGGGTTAATGTGAAAGTGCCAAAATCAAAGGGGGGCACGGTGCCCCGGTGCCCTCCCCGTTCCGCCTATGGTCGGGTTTGAATCGTCCGACGCTCGAGTTTTGGAGATTCCTGCGTCTCCAGCTGTGGTGGTGATTCGGTTAAGAAGGCATGCTAAGTTTTGGCTTCTTATCCTCCCTTCAGCTCGACAATCGGCATTGTCCCGATTGGCTGCTGCTGGTGGACAGTACCTAAGCTCTGCATACCGCGGCCCGTACGAGAGGACAGCATGTAATTTATGTTTTCCGGTGATTTCGTCCCCCGCATCAGCTCTGAAAGGTCGTCCCGGGATAATATGTTAATTTCAGGCTCCAATAAAGAAATCCAGCCTGTTGCTCTGCGCTGGAAAGAGGGCAGTCAATGCAATAAGACCTATGCAAAAAAGTTAGGTAGCCGTATGAAAAAGTTAGCAGCATTTCTTATCTTCCGGTTCGCCGATTCACAGTTTGTTCATCTCGCCAACCAATAACAAATAGGTACCGTTACCTACTAAAATGCTTAAAAATTTATCAGCATCTTCAGGAACGACAAAATAAACTGTTGCAACCACCCATTTCGACCGGAGCACGTTCACTAACGTCCATTTAAAAAAAAAAAAAAACAGATCACAAGCTGCAGCGCCCCTGGCTTGTGTTTCTGAGCCCAGGTTTTTAGTAGCATTGATTGGACAGAACATTAGCGCGTTGGGGCGTTAAACAGAGATCACACACCAGAAAAGGTCGCCATCGGCCATCACACCCACGTCGCACGTGGCTTTGCTTGTAACAAGATTCGTTCAGATACGGCGGGCTTGTACCATTATCTTTTCATGTAAGTACAGACGTTCCACTCTGGTTCATACATGGTACTTGTGCAGTTGGTACCGTTCCGAGTTGCTGACAGCCGCAGTCGGTACTGCTCCGAGCCGTGTCGCCGTCCCTGCCCGCCTCGCTCGGCCGTGTCCGCCGCCGCTGCAGCTGGGCTCTGAGGCGGCGCGGCGCGCGGCGGGGCGGGGCCGGAGGGGCACCTGTCGTTCCGGCGAGCTGCCGCCGGCGAGACAACATCTCGGCCGAATTTCACGCGGCAGCATTGATCAGTGGATTGCTGCGCGGCCGGCTGAGAGCCGCGCCGGCCGCGCGCCGCTGCTCGTATCGACCCTCCAGCCCGGAGAGAGAGCGCGAGAGCGGCCGCCGCCGCCCGGCCGACACTCGGTGGCGAGGCGTCGCGCCGGCCGCAGCGGCTCGCACGGCTGCCGCCGATGGCTGTCCAGCCGAGCTGAGCGCCCACCGCAGCTCGCCGAGCGACGGAGGGAGCCTGCCGACCAGCGGCCTGCAGCGGCATGGCGCCGCCGGCGGCCGCGCTGCTCTGGCTGCTGGGTGCCGCCGCGCTGGCCGGCGCCGACGAGGACCTGCCGTTCCGCACCGTAGCACCGCCAAAGTGAGTACCGGGGGACGGCCTGTGATTAGTTTGCGGAGCTTGGAGGCCGGCCTGGCGGCTTTAGGCACTGGTCTACCTGTTCTTGCATGACGAGCTGGTGAGCGGTGACCCACCCGTCTGTGCAGGGATCACGGGTGAGCGTCGAGTCATCTCTACCGATTGCTGAGATGGCGAACCGTCTGTAACGGGGCTTTTAGCGACAGCTGCATGAATTTCATTGTACTGGGAGCGGCTACTCCGTAGTTGTATTGAAGTGGCGCTTTTAAATTTGGAGCTGATTGAGGTCTAGAAAATTGAACTGAAAGACGGACCCTTTTTTGCCGGAAGCAGCATGGTCGGCTTGACCCACAAGGCGATATGTTTGTGCTGGAAGACGGAATGGCATGCTTGTTTTTACCGGGATGAAGGGTCCATTTATATCGAGACCGACGGGCTTATTGGTAGGGGCGAAGAGCTGATAATAGGGGAAGCCGGGGGAAGCCCGGCATAGTAAGCTCTTTTTCATTTTTATTACATACCATACGTGCTGTATAAAATGTTGATATCCTGCTAGCTAGCTAAGTTCATTGGCCGTGTTTTCCCAAAAATTCGGTTTCGTGGAATAAGTATAAGGTTGAGAAAATCGAGTTTTAAAAAAGTGTTGATTTTTCTGGGGTAAGCCCGGCATAGGGGTAACGCCGGCCACCTCCCCAGCGCTTTACAACGAGTTGATGAAACCATTATGTGTTTTCCAAATATTAACGGAAAGTGAAATATTAAGGTACTGATTAGCTCTGGACATCTTAGAGTTTATGTCACTACTGGTATTTTAGCTAGCGTCTACTACATATACAGTACAGGTCGATGAAAATCGTGATGCAAAATTGACAAAAATGTGTATTTCAAAATTCCTTAAAATTTATTTTTCTTTTTACCTTAATACATCATATTGCATATCATTCGACTCGGCTGATGAAGAAGAACACAACGACACCATTTTTGAAGCTCTAGCTTCATTGTCTGTCGCGTTATCTGCAAAAACGTAGTTTGACCCTAGTTGACCTTAAGTGACATGACTGGCTTTGTCTATGATAACATGTTTATTTTCGAAATTTATCTTTGATCTAGGTGTAAACCAAACCTGCTCAGTACCTATTATCTCATGGAAAACAGTGGTTTAGTGGCATTGCTCTCGGTTGGGGGTAAGCTTGGCCACTCGCCCGGGGTTACCCCAATGTGCTAATTTTTATTTTAGAACAGCGATATTCGAAAAAATGTCATACTTAAGCCAGCCTACCTCGTCACCCCTCACTACAAACACTTAAACGGTCCTTACATAACATTCGTATAAATATTAGTACTGTATGGTATAACATTAACAGTGAAACATATCTCACTTTTTAGCTAAAAACCCTTAAAATATCATTTTTGCGCTATAACTTTAACAATATGCAATTTTTGTCAGCCTTAACTTTTTTGCTGGCGTTACCTTAGCTGCCACGCTGAAAGGACAAAGAGTTGAGCATTTTATTGTGAATAATTTAGCCGGAAACGGGGTGGCCGGGCTTCCCCCGCGCCCGCACTGAAAACAAGTTGAAAGAACGTTATGCAAAAGCATCTTGAAATATTCCACACTTAGGTTTTTTGGGTATTAGGGTAAACTGGCTTAGAGGCGAAGCAGAACGTCTGGTTCATGAAGAACACACACAGTGTTTCACATAGACCGAAGACACGTGCTGCTTCTTCGCGTGCAGTCTTAGCGGCCCCAGGGGGCTTCAACTCGACCAACACCGGTTCTTCTTCGTTCTCCCTAGTCACGTGATATTACGTCACACAAAGCGCGCGAAAGGTAAACCTTTTGAAGGTT